TACTCTCTCTCTCTCTCTCTCTCTCTCTCTCTCTCTCTCTCTCTCTCTCTCTCTCTCTCTCTCTCTCTCTCTCTCTCTCTCCTCCCTCTCTTGCTTCTATCCTTCGCCGCAGACTACAGTCCTTTTTCTGGCACGGTAGCCCGCACTATAACCATCTCATATGTGCCCATAAATTAGTACTTTAGTATTAGAGCACGAGATGCGCGCTTGCGCCACCGTACGTACGACCACACGCACGGTGGCGGGACACACACGGAGAAGAGCAGTTCGGCAAAGACCGAGAGGGGTGGCGGTTCAAGGGGTAGGAACACCCTACGCTAACATACGAGGATTATACGAATCTAATTGGATATATGGGATTTACACGCTCCAGTACACACCTCAGGTATTGCAACGAAGCAATCGTTGCATTCTTACGCGCTCGAAGATCTCTTAATATCTGGCACAAGATTCTGAAATCGGATAATACGATTTATGAAACGGATATCGATGTCTTAAATACGTCGCCCGCTGTCGCGTGAAAGCTTAGCAGTTTTGATTTATTAATTTTGCACTTGTCACATAATTTTACGGCTATTGACATTTTATCAATAAGGCAACTATTATTATTTTTTAATTTTAATCCCATTGCGATTGTGTATGTATACGTGTGTGTAAGATAACAACCTGAGAGAACTCAATTCTATGACATCGTATACATAAGTGACTATATGAAATATAATGATTACAGTAATTTTAAGTAAATCAAGATAAATATTTTTGTTCGTCTTTAATTTTAATCCTTTCTTAAATGCTAACTTATCTTCCTTAATTTTTTTAATCGAACACGAACAATGATGTCATTTTTGGCTGAATTAACGTTTATCATCTCGTGATATTTGTCGGAAGGCTCGTAACAGCTGGCGGGTCTCTTGACTCTCAAGGATGGACGCTTGTGACGAGAGAATGGCATTAGAGCTGGGTGGTGTTAAGTGCATTGGGACCGAATCAGCGTCTATATATCAGTCAGTGGCGTAGAATCAAATACTGCTCTCCTCTATCTCCATAAAATTCACTGCATTCTTATAAAAGCATCCTTATAAATCCAAATATATCAAATATATCAATATATATATATATATATATATATATATATATATATTTTGATTTCAGATGTAAATATATGTTTCTCTTGTATGTATATATGTTTCTTTTTGCCGATACTGTATTTGTTATTTCAAACGTGAATACAATGATTTAATAATAGATTTATGAAGATTTATTTAAATACGATACTTGAAATTTTTGTCGAATTATTTGTAAATAATAAATCTAACATCTGTTGATAAGTATTCAAATTGCTGTTTTATTAAATTTTATTGCCGTTAATATTTAATCTTTCAATATTATCATTTAGGTAAATTAAAATTCAAATTCAAACACTTATGTCTGCTAATTATTATTAACATTAGTATTTTATTCATATTTATATTTTACATTTTAAAACATTTTTACATTACAGTTAAAAATATTACGTCTTGTCTACCATTATGTTCTTCAACTTGTATCAAATAATATATATTTACAATTTACGTTTAAAACATCTAAAAAATTGGAATCTTATTTAAAGTTTTTATTAAATAGAACATTTCTTAGCATTAAATAGAACATTTCTTTTTTTAATTAATTCGCATTAAACAGAACATTTTGTTAGGTAATGAATATCGGAGATATATATTTTATGAGAAAGTGTTAAAAAGATATCTTCCGCGTTTGTACATTTTTTTGTTATTTTTTTATATATTTTTTTTATACAAAGTTTTTATCACAGTATGTGGATTTTCTTGTTTTTAACATTATTTTTTTTACTTATTACTTTGTCTATTATTTGTTTAAAGCCGATAATCGTAATATATGAATAAAGGCATGCTTTTAGCTATCCTTTTTTTGGACCCATGTCTTCGCGCCGTCAACGAATCGTCTCTTGGCGTGTCGATTTCACGGTAGAATTACGATGAAACCGCGACTAAAAGCCCGTGGATAATCCACCGTTACACGCCGATACGGTAGAGAAGAGGGAAAAAGCGCGAGAGAGAGACTGCCTACGCGCAAATCGCGCATTATCACGTACACCCCCTACCCCGCGCACAGGTGCATCGAGCCTATACACGTATGGCAGAACTTCCGTTAATTAACGCAGGCGAATGCTAATGACTTCTGTTACGAAATAACAACGCACGAAGGAGTGCTTTCGACGTGCATGTCCGATACCGAAAAACCAAGCAATCGATAAGTTCTTTATTTGCGTCTGAATCCAAAAATTTACATTAAAAAACGATCGAAAGAAAGAATAAGGAAGAGGGAAAAAAAGTTGTCTCGTGTTCAAGAAATATATAGATTAACATGTAATAAACTATACATATGTCTAATATTAATTATATTGCAATAATTCTGGATTGAAGAGATTTCATCAAATGTACAGAGACACATGCAAAATGTATATAAATAGTTTTCTTCTATATACTTTTAAATAATAGAGCTAATAGAAATGATACTTAATGCGTTAACGAGAAGTAGTCAAAAATACACGGAATCTTCACAATTGCAATCAATCTAACGTCCAAAATACATGACAATTTCCTTTTGGAATCAATTGGATTGGAATCGATAGGTTTGTATCCGAGAGAAACTTTACTGAAATTCTTAATTAATGTGATTGAAACAATATAGAGATATGATGTTAAATTCATTTCGTAATGTCATTAATTAAGTTTCAAATTTAACTAATAGTAATACAAGTCAGTCTATTTTTAATTTTTTTAGTGTTAATTATATCATGTATTATTTTAAGATATAATATCAGCGTCAAACATAAATCATAAATATTAATTTGTATGTTTGACAATAAATGTCATTAACTTTGTCAATATTTTGGAAAATAAAAAATAATTATTATTTGAACATATCAATTTGATATTATAAACAAGCTTGATATAAAGAAAGATTAGCTTTAAATAATGTTTTTCTTAATACATAATACATAATAATATTCTTAATACATAATAATATTCTTATATTATAATATTTATTAGTAAAATTTTTATTTAGAACATGCTAAATTGACATAAATAATCAAATAACAAACGATATTCATTGTAGAAAATAGTTTGTTTACTAAAAAAATTATATATTTTAGTAAACAAATTTAGAAAAAAATAAATACTTTTGATTAACAAAAAATTGTTTCGTCTTGTAATCATTATTTTTAAGATTGAAAATTTCTCTCTGAAGAGAGAAATACTGGTTTCATGTTCGATGGAAAACTATTTAGATATCATGCAATCCGTTTTTGTGGCATGACTGAAATGCATACCAGAAATTTTACAAAAGGATTTATTAAAGTTTCGATTACGATGGCGCTTCAAGCATGTCGATACCAGAACATTTTATCCAGGCAACGTATATACATACAGATTTCTTGTTAATGTACTAATGAACGATGTTCCGTCGATGAACGATAGCCGATATTGGTGCTTCATTGTGCGGGCCCGAGAGGGGTGTTCGAAAGAGGGAACAACTGGCATGAATCGTAGTTGAACACACCTTTCGATGACTAAGATGCCCTGACTGACGCCTTTTCGTAAGATATAAGCGCTTTGGCGAGAAACGAAGCGGCGCGGCGGGTCAATTAGGAACATTGCTTTTTAAAAATTGATCAATCACTGCTTCGTCGGTGCGGGGGCGCGTGCGCCGTGGCAGCTGTTCCCAGGAAGCATCTGGGATCAGGATGAGGGTGGATACGGACGTATGGTTTCATAAAATCGACATCAACTCTCCTAGTAATCTGGCTGCTCGAGATTGTGAGCGCATTTCGAGTTGTATCGCGAAATACAGTTTTGATAAAATTCCAGGCACACATTCCGATGATGCCATAGAAACCATACACACGATAGCAAAATATTTTTTAACGACATATAAAATCCGCATTTCTTTATAAATTTTTAATGTTAAAAATAATAATTGTAATAAAAACAGATTTAATTAAAAGTAAAAAGTAAAAAGTAAATCAACTAAAGTAAATCGATTAAATAGAAAATTATTTACTTTTCTACGTAAAAAGAACAATTTTATTAAAATTTCATCAAACACAGATTTAAAAATAATTTTATTGGACTATCAAAATGATTATGTAAGACTCTTAAGAATAATAATAATACTGCGAAGATTTTGATATTTTAACATTTATTTCGAATGTTCTACATAATTATTTTAATAATACGACAAAATTATTTTCAGCTGTGTCTGACT